GTAATGAGTATGAGAGGGTTAAGATGTACTGTATATAAAAATTAAAAAGTATAAAATGAAACATTACAGTATTTAAAAAATTATCACATATAAAATAAAATTAGGAACTAATTCATATCTTTAAAACTAAGCGAGACTCTGTGTGACATGGGAGAAGAAGGTCCGGGTGGGAAAGATGTCACCATGAAAGTAACCAGCAGATGGCAAAACTTATTGTATGTACAGTACCGCCATCCATGTTTTTTAGGTAATACTGTTAAATTAGGAGCATGCATGATCCATAATACTGAACATACTCAGCATTCCCTACCTAGAGCCTACCTGGACCATCTCTAGTGTTCCTTCTAAGAGGACTGAAACATATGACTGATATTTCCATGAGGGACTAACAAATGTGTAGTTTTGGGGTAGTGGCTGTCACATCTGCCCAACACTTACTAAACATAGCAGGCTGTGGTCTTACTGGCAATATCTTTCAGGCTCATAATAGCCAACTTCCAGGCCTCAGAAGTTATCAATCAACTTTGATACAAGTAAAATGTTATATATTTGTAAGTTATAGAGAAACTAATTGTTTACATTTAGTTTACATTTTGTTAGCCTAAACAGTACATTTGTTTGTTAAAATGTATGTTATTATGTTCGAAAGTAAATTTTTCGAGTTAATTTTAGATTCTCATGTTTGCACGAAATTTTACGGATAAGTATTTGTTACAATATATGAAAAAATTTAATAATTTTTGCACAGCTTATTAAGGAGTAAATCAAGTGTTTAACAATATTATTTGCTTACTAACACACTCTAAATCATAATTAAATATGCATTGTATGTTCATGTTGCATTAAATCATTATGCTCCTTTATATAATTTATGTTTTAGTGCATTATATGAGACTGGTTCAAACTGCTTGTATTTTCACTTAGTGAAAGAAGAATTTCATCTACTGTACTTTGGCATTCACTCCGCATCATCAGAATATAGACCTCCAGTAGTTTGATAATACAAGCTTTAGGTACATCTATGAATACATAAATGAATGCATGAGAGAGTAATCATTAACTCTAGTTTTTCTCTACACAAACTGGACAAGATGAAGGGTAAATATTCCAGCGTGGACATAGGGTCTACAATGCTACAATTTCTACTTCGGCTGCATAGAAAATACCCCTTTTAGAGCAGAATAATATTTAACATTAATGCACACAACATGAGTACAACCAGAGCACCAAGCCACTTTACAGACATGTAAACAATACTTTATGTACTGTACTATTAGATATATTTTCTTATTCTAAAGAGGATCATTAATCTATGCTATATATTGTACTAAACAAAATGCATTTATAAAAGCACTATATACTTTGTGCAGGTATGTTCTGCATGGATGTATGCCTTACACTGTAGCAACATTGAGTAAACCATCCAGACGGAGAAAATATTTCAATACTTTAATGAAATGCTACATAACTCTATTTGTGAATTATTGTAGTACAATATTAGCCTATTCTAAATCCATTAACAGTTATATACAGAACTTTAGGATTCTCTAATCTGTTCTAAAATAAAGAGAGGATCTTTTACCCTCCACTTCATGAAAACCCGTACCAAGTGGCAAGAAAAGGACATTGGAGGGTGGTGGACGAATTAGGTTATCCTTTTATCTAAGAAAGTAGATTAGGGACAAGACCTAAAGTTTGGACACAGCTCCATGGTGCTCAGCCAGAGCTAAATTCTACTTTATATTTACTCTCTTTCTCTTATGAGTGAAGATGTACTTACTGCATTAATGGATTCTTTTACCATCAAAACAATTCTTTCTAGGTGTATGTTTAACAAATTTTTCACATTAATTACAGAATACCAACACTTCTAAACCATAACTCACGTACCGTGGGATTAAACATAACTTATGAAAAGAAATGCTACTGCTTAATTACCCAATACAGTTTATGACTTATAGATTAAAAATACTAACAGTATTCAGTACAGTATCAGTTCCCGCATCTAGAGTGCACAGTCTTAACAATAAAATATATTGTCCTTCATCAAGATAATATTGCACAAAATATTTTTTATCATACATACAGTATGTAGATCAAGTATTTATTCATTGTAAAATATATAAAGACCCTTTCCTTACTGAACTAATTAAACTAATAAGAAGAAGCAATTAAGTGATACAATACTGTTATCCTACACAGGTAAAATATGGAATCCTTTCCATCTGAGTATTGCACCATCATAATATGTGCCATTCAATATTTGACCACACAGTACAAAAATATTCTCATAAATCTCATTCAGAAATTCAAATTAAACAAGATTTCACAAATGGTTTCCTTAAAATATGTATACTGTACTATGTATATTACTACTCATGTGAGTTAACATTAATAAAGATGTTTAAAAAAAAAAAAAAGTATCATAGCAATGAGTAGCAATAAAAACAGCTATTTACATATGTGCAAAATTCATTTATAGATTAAGTATGTTAACTTACTTAATTGAAAGACAGAACACCATCAATGAGTCCTTTAAACACTTACCATGGCAGTCTCAATACAACTACAGTACTTATAAGAAACTGCAATTACAGTACTGTAAGTCTATGTACATGTTATACGACTTGTATCAAACAAGTATTTACATCCATAACTGAGGGCTACTGATGGCTGCATGACAAATAATACAAATTTTATAAACAAATTATGGTACTGTAGATGTTCTCCTCACCCCCATGAACCAGAACTAGCAAAACATATCACTTGTCACTCAACATCCTAAAGATTTCAGGCCGTGTGTGCCTGTTAAGCCATCTCTATGAAGTTAGAACTGGTAATTTAAATTTCTTTCAGAACCAACAGAAAACAGGTGGATCAGTGGTCTAGATGAAAAAAAAAGTAACTAATTTGTTGCAAACAGAGAATACAGCAGAATGTAAATGAACTCTTTATGAAAAAAGTTATTTTAAAACCAAATACTGTACAGTATACCAATTCAGGGACCTTTCACTTAACTTTTAAATAAACCACCAACAATGCGAGTTCATGATGATTTGAGGATTCATTTTCACCACTAATGTGGCTCATTAACAGCTTGGGTTGTCGGTTATGTCTGTTACGCACTGTTGGCAAGTACCAATTCCAGTGTTGGTCAAGTCTGGTCTTGAATGAGCTCACACTCGATGCTGTCACAACACTGGTGGATTGTTCCAACAGTTCAACTCACGCTCCAAAAAAGTTTGTCCTGACAATTTTTTTTAACCAGTGGCGTCTTCAACCTTAAGCTGTGACCTCTAGTGGGGTGGGCATCCATCAGCTCCAGATATGAACACTCGACTGAGTAATGTGCTCTGAGGTGTTTATAGACTTTTATGAAGTTACCCCTTGCCTGCTTATAGTATAAGCTATAAAATTTCCGATGTTCTAATCTCTCTGGGTAACTGAGGTACCAAAGTGCAGGCACCAGTATGGTGGCCCTCCTTTGGACGTTTTCAATCAATTGACAGCCACTAGCATATCTTGGGGACCAGATGGGTGACAGTACTCCAGACAGGGAAGAACACAGAAAAAACATCAAATGAATGAAGCTTCTTTAACAATATTTCCCAGAAGCAGGTCACATGCACCAAGTTACCAGCTGAATTTTATCTGGCTCTTCATATTATTCTTTTAACTGTAATAACGAAAGTACGGAAATAACAAATGAGAGCAGTGAAAGAAGGGCATGGCAGCAAGACACTCCTTCACATTTCCAACTTCCATTTACAGAATACAAACGGAATTGTCAACCTCCACAATACTGAATTTATACTGTAAACCTCAAACAAGTCTGAGATGCTATACACCACAATAATGTAATGTGTGTACGGGTACACATTTTTTCATAAGTTTGTTCACATTCACATTTTTGACTCGATATATCCTCCTGTACACTTAACAGGGCAGCCTGGCGGCATCTGTTCCTTGCCCAGATGAGATAAAATTATATTATAAAGCAGTCTTCATGTAACAACTTATTACCAAACATGACATGAGCAAATTCGGGAATCTCTCTGTGTCAACATATGTTGTAGCTTCTTCAACCAATAGAAGGAATATTCTATGAAAAAGTAATAAATTTGTTATTGGTTATTTCTAAATAACCCTCCCCCCTTAGTTGGCTGACATTTACTAAGTGGTTCTCGGTTATTCGCGGACGACACCCAGGATGTACCCAAGAATGTCTGTGGGTAGTTTTAGAGTTGCCAACATTTTCGCGGCTGGGACAGGGAGCCATTCATTCTAGAGACGATAATTTCCTTTACCTGTATTGTAAATATGTGTGTGTGTACACACACACAATATATACAATTAAACAATAATAGGAAAATCTTCTCAAATAATCAGAAACAAATTTATTAAAAATATGAGTCCACCACAGAGACGTGACCGATCGCCCAAGCAGCTAGCTAGCTGATCAGTGGTGAAGAGGATAAAAGTAAGTAAAGTGAGTCTACCCTCAAGTCTATGCTCTATTAATGAAGTACTGTAATAGAGAATGGATTTGAGGATAGACTCACATTTTTAATTTGTTTCTGATTATTTGTGAGAGTACTTTCCCAATATTATTTATTTGTATGCGTTTTAAAATAATAATAATAATAATTAACGGTTTATTAAGATAACATGGCAGCCTGAAGGCTGAAAATATACAATGAACAGAGATGATAACTTACATATGGTGAAATCGGGGAGTGGGTCACTTGATTGACAAGAACTTTCAATACGAAAACATAAGAAACATATAGTCAACATATAGATTAACTTTAGATCTGGTACTGTGGGAGCTGGTCTGTAGACATTCTTGTGACCTGATGTAGGCGCCAACAGAGTCCTTCCCACTGTCTTGATGGCCGTTGTACCTGACTGCTAAGCCGCAACCTCACTACAGCTGCAGATGCACCACATGGTCCGGGTAGGTCCTCCAGCTCACACAGGGTGTTGGAGATGGTTCTTGTTCCTCATATGATGTAGTTAAGAATTCATAGTTCCTCACATGGGTGGAGTAGGGAGTCCTCATTTCTCTCCTGGTGTAGTGTGGAGTGTTTCTTGGCTTCTCATCCAGTGTTGGGGGTGGTGAGTGTACCGCGGGCTGGGTGAGTCAGGTCAACATTGGCCGCTAAGTGCTGATTGTCGCTCTAACAGTCGTTTCTTGCTTTCGAGTTGAAATTGTCACTTTTGTATATCAGTTGTGGGTTGATCTTCAATCTTTGCACTGTACTGTTGGTGGGAGGATGTTGATAAATCCAGATGGGGAAAGGGAAGGCCCGACAAACCAGGCTGGCAGCTATCTCCATGGTCAAGAGGCCATGGCCGCGTCAGCGCTGTGTGTGTGTTTACACACACACACATATACAATACTACAGGTAAAAGAAATAATTGTCCTAAGGGTAAACACAAAGGGAATACACATTTCTTTGTAAACAAGTAAAAATGTACCGCCCCCCCCCCCCTCCCCCAAATGTTATTCTCAGATTTAGTGATTCGTGACCATTTTGAGAACCTAACCCACGCAAATTTGGGCCCCCCTGTAATTAGAAATACCATTAAGTTACTTATTTTTGCACAATAAAAGTTCAAAGCTTTCCATTGGATTTTGCAGATTTTTCTAAAATATCGACCATTTATATTCCCCCAAAAATGTTCACATAAGAATGACAGTATTTTGCAAACAGTTCCCAGTTTTGCAAGAAGCAAATCAAAATTATCATTATTTTTAATTTTAAGTTTTAGAGTACAAATCAACAGCACCGTAGAAGATGAATTTGTCAGTCATACATCAAGCAGAGTTTGTTTCAGGCCCGACATAATCCCAACTTTAAATATCTCAAATGATATAATTCTTAATATTTTTTATCATTCAAAAGTGTTGCCAGAAAAATATAAGCACTAAAAACATAAAGGGTGGTTTATGCAACACAAAAAAGATTAGCTATACCCTGTGTAACATAACCTACCCAATTTTCATTAGATTCTAAGGAGCAAATAGTTCCACTGTAGAAAGCAAGAAACATCATAAGAATGCTGGGAATCAAGAGATCCAAGGTTTACAGATTTTATCAATAATAATACAAGGGGCCTGTAATAAACCAGAACAACTTTGGAGTAATAAATGAGAACAATTAGTGTATGATTTGAGAAGCTACAATCAGATTAATAATTCCTCTCTATCATCAGATAAATAATGATTTTGTTTCAAGAACAAGCTAAACCAGCACTGTACCAATGCTCAACCAGTCTTATTACTGAACCAGTACTATGTCTGAGGTAGGCCAGACTCAACTCCTGAACCAACTGCAACACCTGAATCAGTCATCTTGGCCAACAGTCATTTCATAAAGACAAGTCTGCTATATTTTGGGAAAAGTGTCCACCTTCCCAATGAATAGCCTAGAGCATTTATCATACTACATATATTCTCAACAACATCAATTACAATACTGTACTGTACTAAGTTCAACCTATCACCGGTATAGTAAAAAATAAATAAATAAAAACAAATTCTGGCATAAAAGTATTATAAAATACTGTATCAAGAATGTTACAGCATCAAGCAAGGAGTATGAGTTCATTGTACTTAATCCAAGATCAAGTGTCACATCAGTCTCCGTGCAATGTCAAACAAGGCAACAGACTCGCATAACCAACTGTAAATTTATATAGATAGTATCAATAAAATGTAATATAATATCAATAGACTATCAAACTCTTAGGTATTCCATTTGTTGTCTTTAGATTTCAAGGAACAATCTTTGGATAAACAAAATATTTCAATACCATAATGAATGGGAGCAAAGCAGAAACACATCTGGAAAGTTTAAACCTTAGATTCATCATCAGGGAGATTTCCCCCTGTTGAACCATTCTTGGACACCCAGTGCTCTTTATCCATCAGTGCCTGTTGCTCATCATCACTGTCACTCCCTTCACTTTCACTAACTCCTTCACTGATTTCAGCATCCCTGTGTTCTTCAGGAGGATCATCCTGTGTTTTTTTCTGGATATCTGAAAATACACTGTCATTTGCTGCTGAACTGCTGTGTCCTTCAGGTATTGCTGTCAGGCGGGCCTGTGTGGTATTACCCTGGGGACCAGCAGGATCAGGGTCAGTCTCTGAGGCAGAGGAGTCGGCTGGGTTTGCAGGTCGTGTAGAGGTGTAATTTGGTTGTGGCTTCGATGAAATACTTGCCTTTTCCCAGAAGAACCTTCGACCGTGATGTGCCTTCATATTTGGAAAGACTCGTGCAAGGCAATCAACATATGCATCTCTGTATTGGCGATTCATAAGCACATATACCGCTGTGTTAACACAATACTGGACCCAGTATAGTATGTGCAAAAGCAAGAATCGAACAGGGTCTTCTGCTTTCCTGTCTACTGCATGTATCGTCATAACTGGCACACTGCATACAAGGAGAAGCAGGAAGATGATGAAGATGGTACGAGCAACACGCATATCCCTGCGGTTGGTGGTGAGTCGCTGGCTTACAGTTGATGACTGGTGAGTGCTGAGGGAAAAACTTCAAGTAAGCACAAATGTACAGTATCACATATGAATATTTCAGCAATTCAAAGTTATGCCAGAATTTTACAACTTTTGTGAAAATAATAATGCTGATTTCAACAGATTCCATACAGAACTTACAAAATATTTACAAATTTAAAGAAATTTCAAAGCAATTTTTTCTTAATTTTGTGTAACAAGCAGCGATCATATACATTATCACAGTATCTACAAGTGCCAGTAGCAGTGAATACAGAAAGACCACAGATTAACAGACTTACCGTTTTCCATTCAGTAATCTCGCTGCACGAAGGCTACAGGGGCAAAAGCGATCGTTAAATGCTAAAAAGGTCAAGCAGCATTTCCAAAACGATCTAGCTACTCCCACACTTGCTCATGAGCTGGAGGGCATTACAATATGTAAAATATTCTTACAGAGAACTTTACTCTATCTTTTTTATTTTGTAAAATGCTAAAGATGAACTGAAGTGTACACACCCAAAATTATCGTATCAACAATATTTGTTCACTCAAAATTAGAAAACATATTAATCAGAAAAACAAACAAGTTACGAGCCATCACAGTAACACCATCAAGATACAGATGCTGGCAATCGTCAAGAGATGTACAGTAGAACCTCATTATTTCAAACTCTGCTATTACAAACTTCAACGAAATTGAACTAGTTACAAGTTTGAAAATGTTTTTCCAGGTTTAAGTAAGAGTATGAATGATGTCAATCTTATTCAATCATAACCGAATTCATGCCCAACTTCCAAATGTTGCACAGCCCCTCACAGAAAGTCATTGGCATATAAACGTGGTGCCGTAGTTATCAGATGTCGGTCATTCTTAGTATAGTCCCATTATCTTCACTGATTAATGAGGAGTTCAAATCAGGAAAAAGGGAAAGGAAAAGTCACAGGAAAATATCATTCACTCTCAGCATAACAGACAAGCTGAAAATTACAGGGGCATTGAGAAATGTAAGCAAGAAGCAACCATTATCACACATTACTCATTTTACTACTCAACACCACACTTGTTCCCTGCTCCTTTATCCTGGGCTTTTCTACCCCTAAATTTCACTACCTGGCTGAGGAGGGGTGTAACTTCCAATCATTCCCCACCTGTGATCAAGTTATGTTATGGTTACTGCATTTATCAGCTATTAATTTGGGATATTTATTGTTTTTTTTTTTTTACCCAAGTTACATGCACACACAAACCTATACAAAGAATGTGAGAAGAAAAAAATTTATCACGAGGTATAAAATTTTAAGTATCTACGGGTTTCCACCACGAAGCCACATACCGAGCGAGTGAAGAGGTCAGGGAGTTAGCAGCGTAAAGCACCGTGGCTTGAGAAGGAAGCAAGTCAACATCCCATTAGTTCGAAATAATGAAGTTCTACTGTAAATGACTTAAGAGAGGGACAAGTGAGAATATGGATACACTGTACAGGTTTTACAAATATTTATCAGTTACTACAATAAAATTAGAGTACAGGTATTGTACTCATAACTCTGCACAGTATACGTACATTACTGTACTTCAAAACTGTTCCACTGCCAGAAACTATTTATGTTAAAAGTACTGTATGTATAACTCCTGTTATACTACAGGGTTAGGGGCCGGCATCCAGGTCGTAAGTCGGAAATGCTTAAATAATACATAGAAAATCTAAAGTGGGTGTCGCTTTTTCTTCTCAGCACCACAAAACACTCACTTTTAAGCTTGCCAGCCATTTTAAAGTGAATTACAAACAAAAATTTTGTCTGTGTACCGACTTTGGGACTCGGAAATATGTAATTTGACCCAATTTTGGTACGACTGAGGCAGGTCGTAATTGCGGGTAGTCAAAAGTCGAGTCGGTCGTAAGTCGGGGAGGAGCTGTATATTGTACACTGATACCCCTTTTAGCCCGAATATTTGGTGTATGGAGGTCTTCTGGGTTTGAGTCGTTTCCGGTTAATGATACGAATCTCTCAAACCCGGAAAAAATCCCATACCCTCGAAAGTTTTCTGGGTAATGAAAAAAGATTCCTAGAGTCTAAACTATGCATCTCGCATGGACAAACACTATCCCACATCTCAAGAATGTTTCTGGGTGCTTGGGAAAATTTTCTCGCGTCTAAACGAACAACTTGCACGGAACTGTATTTATTTACGCCAACACCACTGTGCACGTACGATATATTGTAAATAAACAAAATGATGTATACTACTACTGTACTGTTTATACTGTACTCACCAGCAGAAGCTGCCGTCATGAGCCTGCAGTAGGCATACACTCTGCTATATGTAATACGCAACTGTAATCACTTTGTACGTCTTAACACTTGCAGTGGAGGTGTGGTAGGGAGGGGATCAGTGGGCCTCATGTTACTGACCTGACCTGATGCAATGTTAGGTCACCCATTGCCAGGGTTGGGGATTAGTGGTGTCATGCCCTGAAGAATCAGGTCTTGAATAAAGACGAAAGCTAAGATGCTCCAGTGTTTCCCTTTTCCTGTACATATGGTAATTTCACTTACAGAATGTACAGTACAGTACAGTAAGATCTCATATTTCGCGTGATTTCACTTCGCGTTTTTTAATTTCGCGAGCACTACCTAATGTAACCAAGTCTTATATTTGGCGTAAAATATCGTGAATTTCGCGAGATCCAGCCAGCTGAACGCAAGATCCAGCAAGCTGAATGCTGGCCACCATCTTGAATGATGTTACAGCCCTCATACCAGTTAGTCATTTCTGCTACAACTTATGTTTTGTCAATGCGAATTGGTTGCAACGCGATTGATGAATACGGGAACGCTGTTTGTAAAACGCCAACTTTTGCATACGTATGTTGGCTATAGTGCAATTCCATTCTCAACGTTTTAAGCGTGGCGCGGGGTTATGCAATGTTTACAGTTCACGTTCGACATCACATGTTCAATTGATTCGTGTCTTTTGTTTGTGAAGTGTTTTTTGAGAGGTACTCTATAAATTTGTTCTTTTTTTGCAAATTTAGCTGTTACCCATAAATACTGTATGAAAAGAATAAGAAAAAAAATGTTTCGCAGTGAGGATTAATAACGGTTTACACCAGCGCTCTCTGTTTACATCATATGATCAGTTGAATCGCTTGGTTTCTGTCAATTACTCCGTGATTTTCGCTATTTTCTCCAATTTGGTTGTGTTAGCGATGAATACGGAAAGACATGGTGAGAAGAATGTTTCCAAGAAGCGTTCTGGTGATCAAATTGCCGGTAGTGAACGTAAAAGAGGTTTACAAGAAAGCAACTATCGCGTTGTAGCCCGCATCATCCTAGCGACCGCCCGGGCTGTTATTGTGTGCTTTTTTGGGTGGTGCTGGTGGGGGTGGGGCAGACCAACCTAAGCAGCCAAATAAGGAAAACGAGAAGCGGGACTATTATAAGGGAGTTAAGTTTGCCAAGTACTCGACGCAGGATAAGCAGAGTGTGATTAAATTACTTGAGGAAGACCTAAAAAACTAGTTTCCGGAAAGCACAATCAGGTCAATAAAGGCAGAATTTGTGTCATTTGGAGGTTATAAATGGAAACATCAGAGGTTGATGTAGAGTGGTCAATCTATATTGTTATTTTTCCCATTAGTTTATGTATTTGCATTTGGAGAATTTGAATTTGGCGCAATTTTTCCCAGTCTATATTACTCGCGAAATACAAGATCTTACTGTACATTATACATGACGGTAATCACTTTTTACGTCTTAACACTGCTTTAACACTGTACTGTATTCTTGGCTTGTACAATAGCAGAGGACTATGAACTAGTGTGTCATAATGCTAGGCTTAGAGGGGATAAGGTGGGAGATACATCAGCCTATCACAGGCATCCCATGACAGCATTAGCCAATCACAGTGTGCAGGCCTAGGCACAAGTTACCCAAGCAGTCTTGCCACCCACACACCCAGAATGTGAGGATGTAGCAGTCATGATGCCTTTTACTGTAACTCCCAGAACCTTTGTCCCCAGGCCTGGAGCAGAGAAGTTTGGACAGATTTTCTCAGAATTTTTCCAAAAAGTGCTCATTACATGCTCGTTATTTGAGAGTTCCAGGGACCGAGGATTCTGGCTAACAAGGAGATTACCATGTGTGTGTGTGTGTGTGTGTGTGTGTGTGTGTGTGTGTGTGTGTGTGTGTAGAAAGGAATGTATTATCAAAAGTAATATTTGCATCTCACAGGTTTATCATTTGTAAGAACATTTGAGCAGAGATTATATTTGACAAGAATTATTACTAGTGCTAAAGGTAGTGTGTCTGTGAGAGTCAACGGCAACAAAAACAAGACTAAGTGCAGTGCTATATTCTTAATAATTATTGATATGATGAGATGGGAAGAATGGAAATTGAGGAATTCTTAACCCTTACGCCTCGGTTGATGTTCCGGAACGCCGGACCCCGGGTGACATTCCAGAACGCGCGCCTTTTCCCGCCTCTGTTTGAATGCCCATCGCGGGTTAACAGGTTCCAGCATGACTATTTGTCTGTCCCGGCACACGTAGAGGAGCGTGGATAGGTCCAACGCAGTCAGTAACCATTCCCTTGTCATGGAGAGTCGCCCCTCATCTTCCACTCCAATCAAGCGTCGCCGTGGGTTGGATGATAGCCAGATAAGGAAAGAACTATTTTGTCAGTGCTGTAGTGGTCGAATCTGGTGAGGAAGGCAGTTATTATATGCCTAGTGATCCTGATGATAGCATCGACTTTGACGATGTATTAGAGACAAGTGAGGATGAACATGATGCTGGCAACGAGGCCCAGCCAGGACGGCATGCTCATGACTCAGACAAGGGACAATGGATACCTTTGTTTGGTCTGATGGCAGTAATTTCCAGCCTGACATCCCTGATTTCAGACAATCCTCAGGTGGAATTACAGTACTCCCGATTTTCCTTGTACATACAGAGGAATCACGAGAGATGGACTACTTTTGTGCTTTCTTTGATGGTGCAATCATGGACTTACTGTGTACCGAGACAAATAAATTTTATCAGTACACGTGTGATGCTGACCCTGGCGCTGACCCCTCGCCTCACATGCATCGATGGAGTGATGTCGGTGTTTCCGAACTGTATGTTTTTTTTGCATTACTTGTACTGATGGCACATGTGAAAAAACATGCACTTCAGGAGTACTGGATATCTCCTGATGACATCACAGCAACTCCATTGTTTGCAAAATTCATGTCCAGAGACCGGTTTGCCTCCATCCTACGTTATCTGCACTTTGTAGACAACATTCCTGTGGCTGGTGACAGACTATGGAAAATAAGAGAAGTTTTTATAATGCTGAAGGAACGTTTTATGAAGTTCTTCAGACCCTCCCAGTATGTAGTGGTGAAGGAGTCTGGTGCTCTTCAGAGGACATGTTGATTTTAGACAATACATTCCCTCCAAATGACATTGCTTTGGGATAAAGTTCTTCGTGCTGTGTGACTGCAATACTGGGTATGTCTTAGATCTCATAGATTACACAGCAAGTGACGTAGACATACCCAAGAACAACCCACATGGTTTCTCTGGGCTGTTGTCAAGAAACTCATGGACCGCTACTTTGGAGGGAATCACGTCCTCTACACGGACAATTATTAGACCTCTCGTTCCCTGGCCAAGTTCTTACTTGAACATGACACAGGTTCTTGTGGGACAGTACGCAAGAACAGGAAGCACTGGCCCGTGTTTACTGGTAAACCTGCACGAAGAGAGATCCTGCTGAAGCAAGCAGACAAGATGCTTGCCATACCCTGGCATGATAAGTGTACTGTGCAGATGCTGTCAACCGTGCACAAGGGCGAAATGGCGGACAGTGGAAAAAGGGTCTGGACCACAGGAGAGGTCATGATAAAACCTGACGCTGTCATGGACTATAATGTCAACATGTGGCTCGTGGAAAAGAGCGGCATGCAGGTTGGCGCAATTGAGTGTATATGGAAATGTGTCAAATGGTACAAGAAAATGTTCCTACACCACTTGGATATCACTACCCTGAATGCATACAACTTGTACCTCGTAAAAACCGGGAAAAAGCCCTCTCTCAGAGTTTTCAAAACAAGTTATAACATGACTCCTAAAGAAGTACGGCAACATTGTGGCAACTGTAACATGACATCACAGCCAAGCAGGCCTACCTAACAGACTCCTTGCGCGTGACTTGGTTGTTCGTCATTACCTTGACGACCCCCCGAACTCTTCAAAGTGGTCGTAAGGTGCAAAGGTGGTGTTACGTCTGCAAGAACACCACAGAGCGCCCAGCTAAGCATACAGACGTGACGTTGGTCTCTGTAAACCTTGCTTAATGGAATACCACTCTAAGAAAACATTCAAAAATAATGTGACACATTTTTGTAAATATTATAGAAGTAAAGTGTATATGTAAGGCACAAAGTGTCATATTTGTGTAAAAGGTATACAGTTGTCCGCATTCATTCGTCAATACCCACGAGCGCTGGCAGACAGCTAGCTAGGCGTCAGGGTATCACCACCACCACCACCTCAGCATCATGTTGTATCAAAGTAATATTACTAAAAGTAGTGTAGTTGTATTGTAGTGTGCTGTAGTATTACAAGATAATAATGCTATGATTATGTTATAAATGCGTTTATTTGTCGAATTATTATTCCGATAATTATTTGTAAGACATCCGTGCTCTCCCAAACACAAAGACAGCCTGGTGGCAGACTGTATTATAATCAGTAAATATATGCATTATTGGCCATCTGGGACACAAAGGCAAGCGGAAAAATGACCCCTAAGTGCGTAGTGACTGCGAGCACCAGCCGTCAAAAAAAAAAAAACCTTTCCCCTTATTTCCCTCATCACTGAGGTGTCACACAAGTTTATAGAGGGACAATATATAGTTTTCCTTACATCTTCTTGATCGTTTTATCTTTAATAAAGGTTAAAAAAAAATTTTTTTGTTGAAGTTGATTTTTCTCGTTTTATCCCACGTGGGGGGTACGGCCGGCAACACCCTAGCCCGGGGCGTAAGGGTTAAGCTGACAAGATTAAAATGAATGCAGAGCATTAATGAAGAGAAAGTGGAGAGAAGAATGAGCATAATGAAGTGATACAGAAGATCACTAAGTACAATACTACAACATAAGAGATAAAGTAAGTGTGAGGAGGAGGATCAGGGAGATGCTCATGAGACATAATTTGGATAAAGAAAACCAATCAAGGATTGAGCCTTAAAGGTGAAAGAGTAAAGCAAGATGCAAAGACAGGCATAAAAAGCATAAAATTTTATAAGTAGCTTATCAAAGACTGCTGTACAAATCAAAACAAACATGAAGTAATTGGTAAAGTCTTTTATACTCTACTTCAAACACTTACAATCTGGACCGCAGGTTAGAATCAGATACCATCTTCTTGAGACTTTTAAAACTAGAGTTTGAGCCCTTCCTCTGGCTGGCAGAGGTTGAGGAAGTGGATCCAGTGGAGGTGGTTGGGGGAGCAACCTTACTTTTTCCTCGAGTGGTAGCTCGAGCCACACGTGCAGAGCTCAGTTTAACCTGTAAGACGAGCACTACTGTAAATACCAAACAAATGTAGAATAAAAACAAAGACTGACTACCAGGTGCTCTCATCACTAAAAATTTATTGTCTAATAATTATGTTAGAGTAAAATATCTCTCGTGATTAAGTTTACAGTACAGGTATTTTGAATCCAAGTTGCAGTACTATACACCAATGGTTTTTGAGCAGTTTACATATATTGTTTACTTCAATAAAGCATCACATTATTGGCAAAAGGTATATAGAAAATTACAGTATCAAATATTTAATTTACATAACAAATGCTTGCATTAATTTTTCACTGTGAAGGATTGATATTGTAAACAAGAATTGATTGTTCCCTAAGTTATGCATGGATTCGAATTTGATTGATTGCAGACAATAATGTGAAAACATATCAGATTACAAAAAGGACATGCAATTTAATGGTGGTTTAGCTAACTAGATTTACTAACAGTCTATGGATCCCATTTGAACCTGTAGTTGACTTGCAGTCCACACCGTGAAACTCATGGACGGCACCATCGACACATGCTAAATTTTGCCTCTTGAACGATTTCTCCCACCTCTGAGAATGAACAGTTGCACACTACTGGACGATTTCTCCCACCTCTGAGAATGAACAGTTGCACACTACTGGACTTGAAGAGTAGTTACAGATGAGAAGCTTATGATAATTTTAGTGAGTTAGCAATGTTATTTGAGATATTCCCAAGATTACTCCCCCCCCTTTTTTTTAACCCCAAATTTCCCCAAAATATAGCTACAGCATTTTTACGTGTCCCTTGTCTTATCACTAATATGTTGTAACTGGGTGGAAGTGTGTGAATCACACTGTAACACATTCATGTTTATATGTGAATCTCTCCAAGCATTGTTGGAAATTTGTTGCAGTTTTCAGAGGCATATGGTTGATTTTACATTGGGTGTGGACACATTGGTTGGGGTTTGACTGTATGTCCTCCAATAAAAGACAGTGACATCAACAGGTTACATATGGACCTCTAAAACTTCTAAGAGCCAGAGAATGTTGACAGTTTACTGACTGGCAGGTAACTAAGCAAGTGAACAAGGAACTCTTTGTGACCAAGGAGGAGTTTGAAATTCATGAAGGATGATTGTGAATCAATATTACTGATTCTGAGGTCCTCATTTCCCCAACTCAATGCAAGTCAATCATTGATTAAAATGGGATCTAAGGTGCTGAAGGTAGAGAAAAACATTCATAGTGAAACAGTACTGTGTGTAGCTGTTTAGTAGAATAGGTAGTTTTACTGAGAGCACTCACTGGGAGGTAGGGTCCCAGTGAGGGTATTTAGTGGACATATGAACAACTTAGTTCATGTAAAATCAGTATGTATACAATAAAAGGTGTATTATATTACACATTCATACAAGGTGTATTATATTACACATTCATACAAGGTGTATTATATTACACATTCATACAAGGTGTATTATATTACACATTCATACAAGGTGTATTATATTACACATTCATACAAGGTGTATTATATTACACATTCATACTAGGTGTATTATATTACACATTCATAATTATTGCAACCAAAATCTATATAAATACATAACCCACAAAACTTCATAACACAGCCAAAGCAATGTTTTTAATACCAAGCACACAATGTGGCTGAACTACAACACAAGATCAAGGACAAGACACCATTAACATGCAAATTATTATGCCGAAATACTTGGATAATAAAATCCTATGCATATTTACAGTAATACCCCAGTTAGCATTAACCCCTTGAGGACTGTTTTGTAGCGCACTTGCTTACATCTTGGAGCTCTAGAAAAATATAAATAATAACAAATAAAAATATGCAGTCAAATGTCACGAGTCCGAATACTCACAACAGGCACAGAGCAGCCCTCTTTGCTTTTACGCAATGGGCCAATCAGCAAAAACCGCTCTGTTTACATTACAGTACTGTACAAATTAGCTGTGCTTACACTGTGGACACATTCTTGTTGATATCGCTGATTTTTTTATATTAGTGACTATTTTTTAATCACCATGTCTGGAAAATGGTGTGCAAGTTTTAATGCTGCTAGTGTGTCTAAAGTGCCATGGAAAAATATCTCCTTGGATGTAAAATTACAAGTGTTGGGGCAGTTAGAAGCTGGTGAGCATCAGGTGAATGTCAGTGTTGCTTTCAACTTTCTTTTACCCTTTGCTTTTATCCTCTTCACCAATTGATCGGCTCGTTAGCCACTTGGGTGATCGGTCACATCACTGTTGGCAAGTACTGGGCATGCACTGGCCCCTGAATTTATCTGAGCCTACTCCAGTGTTGGTCAAGTCTGATCTTGAAAGAGCTCACACTTAGTGCCATCACAACACTCTCCGGCAGATTGTTCCAATAGTTCACAATTCTCACTCCAAAGAAGTTTGCCCTCACAGTTTCTGGATTTGTGGCTTCTTCAACCATGAGCTGTGACCCCTTGTGGGGTGGGCATCCACCAACTCCAAGTATGGACACTTGACTGATTAGTGCCCTCCGAGATGTTTAGAAACTTAAATTAGATCACCCCTTGCCCGTTTATAGTACAAGCTAGTCAGTTGCAGGTGCTCTTATCTCTCTGGATATCTGAGGTGCTGTAGTGCAGGCACCAGTCTGGTGGACCTCCTCGAGACATTTTCAATCAACTGATAGTATCGAGCATATCTCGGGACCAGAAGGGGTGCCAGAGCTCTTTCAAGACCAGACTTGACCAATACTGGAGCAGGTTCAGATACATTCAGGAGCCGGTGCATGCCCAGTACTTGCCAACAGTGATGTGACCAATCACCCAAGCGGCTAACGAGCCGATTAATTGGTGAAGAGGATAAAAGAAAAAGAAAAGTAACAGAGACGTGACCGATCGTCCAAGCGGCTAACGAACCGATCAGTGTTGAAGAGGATAAAAGTAAAAGTAAAAGGTAAAGTACTCCAGACAGGGAAATACCTCCCTCTAGAAGATCATCATGAGGGATGGACCTTCTAACAACCTTCTTATAAGACCTACGAGTTTAGTTGTTTTATTCACCTTCTCACAATGGCCCGAGAACTTGAGTTCATTGTCGACATACACACCAAGGTCCTTTTCACATTCGGTTAATACAGTCTCTTCGTCCTGTTGGGACATGTGATACGCCTCCTTACTATTGGTGCAACCCAGGTGCATCCCTTTGCACTTTGAGACACTGAAACTTAGCAGCCATTTCCACGACCATTCTTGAAGCTAATCGAGTTCTTCTGCAGTTCTTCACAGTCTGTTTGGCTCTCAGTTTTCCTAAATAACTTGGCATCGTCCACAAACATTTGTATGAACGAGTGTATAGCTTCTGGGATGCCATTTATGAAACGAACAGCAACGGGGCCAGTACACTGCCCTGTGCTACCCAGTTTGTCACCAGTACACAAGACGAGTTCATGCCATTAATCACCACACAATGCTTGCGGTCATGACACAAGGACCCTTTTTCATGGGGGGTACACTGTCGAAAGCTAGCTACATCAACTGTTAGAACCATTATTAAGTATACAAACAAGATAAAAGCTTAAGCCATGACAACCACGAAGTTGTTATATTAAGTGTAGGTCTTATTGCATGATATAAAATTGTGTGTGACTAACTGAAGCATAATGTGTGGTGGTGGGTTGGATATCAGTTGCTGAGGAGAGCTTGGTAACACCCAGTACGTGTTACCACTCACTTCCACTCCACCTCTGTAATCACCCCCACATTTCTGCTTTCTCATTCCATATTTTAAAATGCTATGTAATGTTATGTTGAATGGATACAACCTTTGATCATTTACACTTGCACTCAATTTTGTGGGTAGATATCAGTTGTTCAATAGCATCTGGCAGTGCTGCAGGCACAGTGTTCACAAAGAAACCTTTAGATGCATCACCACCACCCCACCTCCATCACCCACACCATCACCACTACCTCTATTATCATCACTTAAATCATAATTTCAGTAATGCAGAGAAAGATTGGTGTCAATGAGAGCGAGCTGTACGATACCCACTGCCTCTCTCGCTCCCACACATTGTGCCACACACTCGCTCATCAAACAACGGTTATTCATAATACAAAATTGTTTAAGTTATTCATTAATTAATTAGAATATGTTACTATAATAATCTTTGTTTATTAATATCTGTACCCTTCATAATAATACTGTATACAGTACTGTATATCTTATAGGTAAAAAATAACATCATCAGGAATGCCTCTCTAAATATGTAATGGTATAATGACCCCTTAGAATGCTGTTTTGGATAGTGCTCTATTATCCAGGAACATGTCCTGAGCACTAAATGGGGTATTACTGTACTCAAGTCATGGATAAAAAATTTTGACCAAAGACACTACAAATAGTAAATAGAATGATACTTTATTCACATTCTACACTAAAGCTTTGGAGGACATTTGTAATGAAGATGCTCCTGGTAAATAACCATTAATGATGCAACACCAGGAGAAATCACTACTGTACTGTATTACTGAAGATCATATCACTGTACTACTTATGATCTCTGGGGTTTCAAGTCAAGAATCTGCCTCACTTCAGCTGCAAGGAAATGCATTACTGCAGCTCTATGTTTGTTCAGTAAAAAAGGGATAAAAAGTCTGGTTGTATCCCCTGGAACCACAGCCTCAGAAAAGAGGTTACAACTCAAACAGGGAAAGAAAGAAACTCTCGCTCTATAACATTTTCTACCACCCCTCTCTCTCTTTTCTTTTATATAATACATAAATGACTGAATTTTTCTTCTTTTAAAGTAGTGAGCAGACCAGGATGAATACCAGCTTGTGTTCTACCTCTTTTCAGTAGAAGTATGGTTAATATATAATGTACACCACTACTGTGTTATCTTATGTATATGCACTAAAGATCAGACAGTAAAGGTTTGCTGTGTTAGGTTTCCTGAAAAAATATGAGGTACAGGCATTACAACATTAACCCTCTGAGTACAATGATTTACCCCAAGTACTGTGCAATACTATCATACTTGCAGGTCATTGTATTCAAAGGGTCAAAGTATTGTAGTAAAGGTTTTAGGTAACTGTATTTAAGGGGTTATGTCATCAAGGTGTACAGTATAGACTGGTTCAGGGAGTTGGCATCATAATGGAAGGTTACCAGGTAGTAATTCTTATCTCATGGTTTGTTATAATACTTGTACCCATCCAAATAATTCTAAGTTATGAAAGAGTTAGTAAACATGTCAGTAACTGAAATATGTGGGAACAATTCTGTATGTGATGACACCTTGAGTACTGGCTATAACAAGGCATCAAACACCTGTAAGGATCTTGTTAACAAGCAGCCATATAACATAAGTGAAAATGTTCCCTTAATGATTCACTGTGCCCAAGGTGCACAAGGTCTACAGCATGCACAAATGTGTCCACAATGCAATAAAAATAGAAAGTGCTTTGTGATGCACTAATTAGTAGCACATTTTAAGAATAATGTAAATGCATTTTTTAACATTGTTGCAATAAATATTACCATAGCAAGCAAGTTTGATTAGCTGACAAGAAACATTACCTTAGGCATATCTAGTGTATCATAACCACAAGTCATAGCAATTATGTTAAAACAAGGAACAACTGTGACTAAGAAACTCGGGACGTGCTCCAACACAGCAGACGTAAACAACCACATGCTATTGACTTACACAGGGATGCAACAGTCATTCATACTGAAATGTTCCACCAAGGCATGTTTTTAATGCTTCACATTATGATTTGGACAAAACTTCCAAGTTACTCAAAATATACTGAAACTTAAAAAAAAAAACATGTGTTTACAAAGTGTGGATTAGCTTTGAAACATTTCAGAATAAGACTTGACGAGACACGTTTAATATGATCTGGAATATAACCTGTGCAAGTTGTGGAGGGGGTGGAAAATTTTTGCTGAACTTTCGTTGTCTTATAAATGCTCTTCTGACCACCTGAACAGGAAGAAATTTTTGTCAAAACTTACAGTTAACTCACATGGTTTCTGTAACTATTAACTTTCTACAGTACTAAGAATGTATTACAACATGTAATTTTCATCTGGTGTCCAGGAATACTTAAAGAAAGTGCCGGTATGTCCGAATCCATCAGATCCTAAACCTAAAACCAGCTGCAACACAACAACTGCAACTCATCATTTAGATAAACTCCTTTGGTCAAAACAAAGCAAAATTATTATTATTTTTTTATTTCAACAACTTCTTCATACAGATATCCACCCTCTAGCGATCGTTCACCAGTCATAATTCAGTGCAGTGATTTAAAATTTCTAACACCCTTGGTTATTTGACACTGTAATAGTTCAGTTTAGTGATCTTCAACTTCAACTCACTGGAAAAGATTCAGGAGGTAAAATTATGCTTGAATTCCATTTTTCTATTCACCTACCTATCCAATATTATATAATCACAAATCTAATATAAAAAAAGGTGGAAATAACAAAATAAAGTGGTGTAAAATAAATGCCGAGAGTGATTCTGCACAGTATGTCTCCCGGCCCACTCAGAGATGTATTTTCAAGGACGACACTAAACCACTTGGAAAGGAAGCCGCTATATAAGATACTACCTATGAATCAGCCAACCTGAATTTTATTAACTATTTCAGAAATCCTCATCTAGCTTTTCCAGCAAAAACATAATAAACTTTTATGGTAACCAGAGGGGTACATAATCTAGGTTTATTATATAGAAACCACATATTGTAGGGGTATGTTACCGGTGCACCACCTATGAATCCAGGCCATTATTACACTAAAGCGCATTTTTATTCAGCTGAGAAAAGATGCCCCGCCCCCTCCCCACGAGTTACAGCTGATTGGCTGTTGCAAACCTGTCTGATTTTGTCCTGAAGTAATGATGTATTTCTAATTGAGTTTATTCATAATCGTTGGGATGACCGTTTCTGACGAGAAAGATATTTAGCTAAATTATATACAGATAACTGTACATGCATTCATTATTTCAAACATAACCACGTAGGAAGTTTATCAGAAGTATTATACCATGAATTAACTGTTAAACTCTGGTAGCAAATTCACGCTTTAGGAGGATGCATTTAATATATACAATACATAATTTTACCCACAATAAGACATACTAAGACTAATTACGTATCAGTAATACTACATTATGCACAAACAACATTTTAAAAGATCAGAATCACATTGAAATATTACACGACCATCAGCAAAGGCGGAAAAAATATGACTGCGAACTGCTTCATATTTTCTCCGCCTCTAGTATTACCCATTACGGCGGTTTCATAAGCGTTTTATCATATACGCGGTGCCTCGCCAGAGCTGAACTTTCACTTAACACGGATTTTTTCCACATATACGCGGTGAATGTCCGGCTCGAGACGCTATTTTTAGATTTGCCCCACGTGCCACCCTGCCTGACTGCCTGTTTTAGCTCATAAAATTCATACAAATTACCCGGCCAGAATATAATTTACATTGCTGGAATTCTTATAATTTGGTGATCATTTTGAATATAAACATCATATATTTTGCATTAGACATACAAATTTTAGATAACATTTTTTCTCTGGGTAACTATGTTATCTTTTGTGCAAAATATATGACATTTATATTCAAAATATTCCTGGTCTTACAAGGAATCCAGCAATGTCAATTATATTATCCTAACTTTAGTTTGAGGTATTATTTATTACAAAAAAGTTAAGTATTCTGGTTTTCCCACACATCTCCTTGGGACGGTTGGTGGGGGGTGGGGGGGAGGGAGGGACCGACCGACCGACCATCTGTTACCCGTGAAGAATATTTTTTTTTTTTTATTAACTGAAGATATTTGTTTTAGCTCATAAAATTCATACAAATTACCCGGTCAGAATATAATTTACATTGCTGGAATTCTTATAATTTGATGATCATTTTGAATATAAACATCATATATTTTGCATTAAACATACAAATTGTAGATAAAAAAATTTTCTGAGTAACTATGTTATCTTTTGTGCAAAATATATGACGTTTATATTCAAAATATTCCTGGTCTTACAAGGAATCCAGCAATGTCAATTATATTATCCTAACTTTAATCTGAGGTATTATTTAATACAAAATGTTAAAATCTAAATTTTTCACCCACTTCTCTTGAAGGGATGATTGGTGGGGGGTGGGGGGGAGGGTTGGGACTGACCGGGCGGTTGGAAGAGGGGGGGGAGGCAAGGTGGGGTACTTTGATTGACAGATAGTGTCCTGAATATTTTTTTTTTATTAACTGAAGATATTTGTTTTAGCTCATAAAATTCATACAAATTACCCGGCCAGAATATAATTTACATTGCTGGAATTCTTATAATTTGGTGATCATTTTGAATATAAACATCATATATTTTGCATTAGACATACAAATTTTAGATAAAAAAATTTTCTGAGTAACTATGTTATCTTTTGTGCAAAATATATGACATTTATATTCAAAATATTCCTGGTCTTACAAGGAATCCAGCAATGTCAATTGTATTATCCTAACTTTAGTTTGAGGTATTATTTATTAAAATTTAGTGGTTTTCCCCAAAAAATTTCTCAGAGAGGGAAGAGCCAGCAGTGTAGTGTGAGAAGAGGGGGAGGGAGTTGAGTCCATTATTTGAATGGACATTAACTTGGCGACTGTATTTCTCTATTTCTCTTAAGTATTAATTGTGTGCATGTACCATCATAAAATTAAGATGTTATTTTTACTACAACATAGTTATGTGTCTTCAAAAAGTGGAGTTTGGGGGTCGGGCTGGTTTCTATTGGAATTAATCCCATATGTTCTGTTGTTCACTTAACGCGGATTTCACTTAACACGGGACCCTCTGGGTTCTATTGACCGCGTTAAGTGGGGTACAACTGTATATATTAAATGCATCCTCCTAAAGCGTGAATTTGCTACCAGAGTTTAACAGTTAATTCATGGTATAATACTTCTGATAAACTTCCTACGTGCTTATGTTTGAAATAATGAATGCATGTACAGTTATCTGTATATAATTTAGCTAAATATGTTTCTCGTCAGAAACGGTCATCCCAACGATTATGAATAAACTCATTTAGAAATACATCATTACTTCAGGACAAAATCGGACAGGTTTGCAACAGCCAATCAGCTGTAAATTTTGAGGAGGGGCGGAGCATCTTTTCTCAGCTGGGAAAAAATGCGCTTTAGTGTTTACTCTGCCTTTGAACATTGTGATCTGTGCTTTACTATACTGTATTGCTCTGTATCTTATCGATCACTGTGCATCGTTCCTATTGCTGTGCATCGCTGTTATTGTTGTGATTTTGTTATGTTATCGAGTACTGTATGGACTGCTCCTTACCCTGTACTAATGTGATATTGTGTACTGTACTTAAGTGATTACTCTTCCCTTCCTCTACATTCTTGTTGGCTAACAGCAGACCAAGTAAGAACTGTTTATGTATTCCCCCATGTTTTTTATTTCGACCTTATATTTTTTTTTTTGCACATTCTGCATGAACGAATGTGTGTGCATGTAACAGAGTACAAGAAGATTAAGACAATTATGTATATCTACCCAAAATTACAAGTTGAAGAGTAACAAATCTCACTGCTCACCCTCCCCCACTCTGAGTGCTACTCGGTGGCGAGTTGGCCAGGCGACTCCGCTACACAACTACGTGCCATCTCCACAGATATTATTCCTAGTTATCCCTTGTTTAAGATATTATTTCTCGTTTCTGTTCACTCGGCGATCAAACCACTTTGCGATCCGTTTTTCAGGAATGCATCCCTATCGCTAAACGACGCATCCCTGTAATGTATTTGGCTATAAAATATCTTCTAAATTCTTATAACGCAAACTTACCAAAATTGTCGACTTCACCTGATTACAATTCAATCACTCCAGGAAAACAAAAAATCAAATAAAATTAATAATCAATAATACAGTGCATTCAGCAACACCTAAACAGCCTGCACGGAGAACATGAAAAATAAAACAATGCTGTGACATATCTTCTCATAATTACAACCAATCTACCAGTAGCTCCTAGTGATACTGTATTATTCTCTTCACCCTAACTACCACCACCACCACACCCATAATGACTACTACAACCACTATCAAAGCATCATTTTAACTTCTATAAACAATCAACATTACAATCCCTAAGACCACAACCAACAGCAGTCACTAAATATCTGTACTTATATTTCCTACAAACTAACATCCGCCACAATCCTTCAGATCACTACAACCACTACCATCACCATCGTCATAACCACTACCATCACCATCGTCACAGCCACTACCATCACCACTATCACAACCACTACCATCACCACTATTACAAGCTAAAATCCCTTTGACCATCACAACCATCTCTAATAACACCACCACCACGACTACAACAAACTATTATTCTCTATTACAACATCAATGACATAGACCCACAGAACAATATATATAACCTTAATACAACCACAAGGCCTGCGTTGTTTCCTGTAAGGTGGGACACATCTGAAGCATGTCTTTCTAGTTACAGACTTCAACTGAATGGAGTTTTATGTCATGTAGAAGCACCACTCTCTCAGCTGGCCACTCATCTTTGAAAGTAAGTTTTTCAATCTTACAAAGTGACAAAATGGTTATTAGTATAAAAGTACAAATACCTGAAAATTATAAATGCAGAGTAAAAACCATTGATTGACCAGCCAATAACTCTCTTATTCTTGACAGCTGTGAAATCCTTCAAAGTTGAAACAAATTAGACACACCCACGCACTCCTGGACACACCCACGCACTCCTGGACACACCCACGCACTCCTATCTCAAAATTACATTTTCTCTCAAACTGTTTCAGCTGCACTCCTGCATCTTCCACTACAACACTTACTTCACCACTCAGATCCTGTCACTTACCATGACAAAGACGAAGACGTACATTAAGAAGATTAACAGGACAGGAATAACGGCTTCAACTAATATGTAGATAAGCCTGGCCATGGCGTTATCACTTGTCATATCACACTCCATTGTGTATGTGTTGAAGATATACTTTCCCAGGATCTGTTGACATAAAGAACATTCAGTCCTATATGAGGATGGATAAACAAGTTGAACAGGAGAAAAAATTATTGCTGCATTAGTAACTGTGTTCACCAGTTGGCACGGCTCTGATGACTGTAATACTCTGCATATGTCCCCAGAAACTGAGCTAAATGAAGAAGTGAAAGATAAGTTTGGGGATGAGTTGATACATGTGATGTCAGAGATGGTTGAAATTTTTTTTAGTGCAGTACCTATTTTGGCTAGTGACCCAAATGATGGTGTTGCTGTACACAGAGTAATATGAAGGTGCACATGGTAAGCAAGGCTATGGTAAGGCAAAAGGAGAAAAATACCCGTGTTTGGGGATGCAATGAACACGATTGGCGAGTTAGTTCATTATATTTGAGTCAGGGGGCATTGCTATCTAGATTGACTGCTTCCTCATTAGGAAACCAGATAGAAAGTTTGTTAGGGATGTAAAGGTTATATTAGAAGAAGGGGAGAATGTGTCTTGCAGCACAGATTGCTGTACAGTATTTATATTAGTACATATTTCTCTACTTTCTATTTTAGATTAACCAATAAATGTTATTGGAAATATTAGAATAATGATCTACGTATATACATTGAAGGTAGGATTGCAGATCTCATAGTAATACGTAAAAGAAAAATACCTGACCCTACTCCATCACACCTAATAAAATGCCACTTCCCGCCAGATAAGTTTTCTAATTATCCTAGTCATTTTGCAGCATATTTAAACACTGTACTGTACTTGGTTAGCTCGTCCGAATAACTAGGATTACAGTAGCGTATGTGCATAAGTTATATACAACTTATTTACAATTACTGTATATGTACAGTCCCCTTCACTAGTGCATTTACAGGACTGTCCATAAGCATTCCACAAATCATTACATTGAGATATTTGTTTTCATATTGTTTTACTTTGATTCCACATTATGTTTAGTATTGCGAGTTTTCTTCTGTCGAATGTACACAAACACAGGGCTGCCACACTGTACAAAACCTGATGAGCTCCTGTAAATGCACAAGTGAAGGGGACTGTACAATACATGCATCACGATACTTTTGCCACAAATGCAACCTAACTTGACCGGCTAGGAGCCGAATCTCCCCCCCCCATTTATGTACATTTTTATGGGAAAAATGCTTAATTATTGGTATAATCGTTACACGTAAGGACTTTTAAAAACAGATCCCAGACAAGGACTCCCCCCCCGTACTGTTATCCCATCTGGTCCCCGAGATACTGTATGCTGGAGACTGCCAGTTGATTGAAAATGTCTTAAGGAGGGCCACCAGATAGGTGCCTGCACTATGGTACTCCAGGTACCCAAAGAAATTAGAATGTCTGCAATTGCCTAGCTTATACTATAAATGGGCTTGGGATAACTTCACAGAAGTCTATAAACACCTCCTAGGACATTACTTAGTCGAGTCTTCATACCTGGAACTAGCAGATGCCTGCCCCACTAGAGGTAACAGTTTTTAAGTTGAAGATGTCACAAATTCAGAAATTTTTCAGGGCAAAACCTTTTGGAGTGAGATTTTAAGTCTTTAAACACTCTGCCAGAGAATATTGTGATGGTATGGAGTGTGAGCTCATTCAAGACCAGAGTTGACCAACACTGGCACAGATACATTTTGGAGCCAGTACTACATGGGCAGTATTTGCCAACAGTGCATAACAGAGACATGACCAACCATCCAAGTGGCTAACAGGCCAATCAGTGGCAAAGAGGGTAAAGAAAAGTAATGCTGGGATACGACAGATGACATCAGGTGTGGGTTTATGGTTCTGTGCTGTCTAATTCTAAGATTTTTTTTACTGTGGAACCACTAGGTTGAATTTTTTTTTATTCTATTGCATTTACAGTAAATATTATGAATTTGTCTATTTTAGGTTCACAGCCAAACAGATGTGAGCTGTCCTGAGATACATTCTTCTGTAAAATAATTGAAACACTGAGACCTGTTCTGTGAAGATCAAGACGATCATCTAGTTGAGTTCTCTTCTACCGTTTGGTCCAAGAAGAACAAACAAAAACTAATTACCAAAAACTTTTCAAAGGTGAACACTGCTGAAACCATTAGTGATAAACTCATTATTTTTGTATGTACAAATAGGGATGATGATGATGCTCCTGTGACACTTACCTCCCCTACAACAGAGAGAAACAAACACTTCAAAATCCCATAAAATACAAAGACCTTGAAACAGTAACATCCCTTAAGGCAGTCAAGTACTAAGAGGAGACTTACCCCGGCAATAGCTGGTATCTTGAGAGCGAAGGAGTAGATCCAGATGCCTGCAATGTAGCAGCCCATCACGATAGGCCGGTTGATGGAAGTGTACAGTCTGGGGACACTCACCGCCAAGGCTCTGTACAAGGGACACACTTGTTATTGTTGACAACACTCAGCAACTTATGTCACCAGAATATTCAATACTATATGTACATTAAAATTTGCAAGAGCAATTCCTCGAAAACAGTTTGCGTTACAGCACCTGTATAGGTAATGTTAATTATTTTGGGCTTCCAGTTTATACTTGATGCTACAAAGAATGAAAATTTCATGTATGCTTTTATCCCCAAATATGTGGTACAAATCTGACCCCACAGAGAGATGTTTACAAATGATGTGAGAATAGTGACATTACACAAGAGTTACACATGCATTATGGTATTGTACTGTACTGTACAGTACAGTGCGTGACAGAGACGTGACCGATCGCCCGGGCGGCTAGCGAGCCGATTAGTGGCGAAGAGGAGAAAACTGAAAAAACTAAAACAATAAAGTTACATTACAGATACCATAGTATTCATGCTTACATTTAATATATACACAACAGTATATGTTTAAGATATTTACCGAAATGTAAAATAGCCTTAAGATATACTGTACTGTATATATGGTGGAAGGTGTCAAGCCTGTGTCCACAAACGTCATTTATTTTGTGACCGTATCTGTACTGTGTGTGCTAAAGTGCTACATCATACATCTCTCTCTCTCTCTCTCTCTCTCTAATAGTCTGAGTCCAGCAATAGTTATACACATTCTCCACATCATGGAATTTTTAGGGTTGGATAGTTTTGTAGATACAGAGGAGAATATTTGGAGCTGAATATGAGGTTTAATACTACCTTTGAGTTTTAGAGGAGAGTAAACCAATTTATATTTATGTTAAGAGAACTACAGTACTGTATAAGGTTGGCTAACAACTTCCATGTTTACAATGATGGGCAAAAAGGCTCCAATCCATCCTTGAAACTCCTGTTATAATAGAAGCTGAGTGATCACACATAACCTTCATTGATTATGGGTGGTTGAAGCTGTAAATGAGCTAAGTTCTCCCACAATTGTATTTAAACATTTCTATGTAATAAAAATATGTACAGAGTTCACACTGAATTATGCTTACAAACACAAATGTTCACTCACAAACATGAATACATAAACACATAATGACACATGCTCAATGCCCTCTCCTCTCCTCCAACTTGCCTGGTAAGTGCAATGGCCAAGATGGTCTGGAGCTCCACCTGAGTGAGGGCGTACTTGACGGGGGTGAAGAATGCGCAGTCTCGGTCAGTGAGGAGGGCATCGTCATACTGCTGCAGGTACAGGTACTGAGCACCTGCCATAGGCAAGATCAACAAACAGAAGAGCAACTCCACCACAGCCAGGTTCACTATGAAGGCTGTGGCTGTTGTCCTCAGTTTTTTGCACATGGGCAGGGCGATGATGGTGAGCAAATTACCTGCAGAGGAGAGGGAGACTGCATGAAAGGTCTGGTTGAAATAACTGAGGGAGAGTGACTGCAGTACTGTACCACCTCCACCTACAAGAAACTGAATGGGTAACTATTTATGACTTCAGCCGGTGATTTTTCAAAGAAAACAAATTAAAAAAGTCGCAATTTCACTGTATTTTATGGTAGACACTGTTGTAGTTATGGAAAATGTGTTAAAAGTGGTTATTTCTAAATTAAATTAAATTAAATTAAACTAAACTAAACTAAACTAAACTAAACTAAACTAAACTAAACCAAACCAAACCAAACCAAACCAAACCAAACCGAACCTTAGTTGGTAATAAAAACAAGTGGCAGAAGCATTGTTAGAAGACCTCTCCAACATAAACCAAGGATAACTACCTAACTTCCTAGGCGTGAGGCTGAACCCTCCGGACCCTCAGGCATATTAAACAGAAAGAAATTACTCTTATATGGTGCAATTTTACATTTTTGTGGATATGAGAGCAGCCGCTTGATTCCTATGGCTCATAAACATACACTGGCAACTAGCACCAATCGGAGAAGATTGGCAGTGTACCACCGCAACATGCCGAGAAAAACAAAGTAGTGTGCCCAGTCGTCTAATTACAGTATCTACTAAACGAAGCAAATTTCTAAAAAATCTTATATCAGAAATCCCTGATGAAAATATGGTAACATTATAAACATCATAACAAATAGTGTGTCGGCTGTGAAGTGCTCTATATATCTGTGTTCGCACAGCGGGTGGTGAAATGCCTCTATTGTGGCAGCATTATGTTAGAGTTAAGGTGCAAGCACTGCTTGCTCCCTCTCGCTTTCAGCTACCGCTGCTGGCTAGCCCTCGTGGCAAACAGAGAATCTACCTGCATAAGTCTTTCCCTGCCAGTACACAGCCTCTTCACCAAACCCAATACACTGGGCTATCAGCAGTCCATTGTAACTCTCCCCAGTCGTTGCAACACTTGCACAACTGGATCAGGAAAAGGGAGAGTCAAGATGTGTAGTTACAGCCTGTGCTCCTGCCTCACCACATAAATCAACTCACGCGCAGCCATCATCCAGTTCATCATACCTCTCATCATCATCAAAACCCCTATGCCCCCAAAAATCCTATGGCGACGGGTACAGGCAGAGATGACTGCCGGGAGTCTCTAGTCACAACTCTGCACATGGGCGGCACAGATAAGATGGTCGTTTATGCACCGGGATCTAGGCAGCAGTGTAATCCGGTCCTGTCTGTGTGACTAAGCAGCCCTTTCGAGGAGCCACTCCGTTCACCCCACATGGGGAGGGGGCTGGAAAAGATGCTCTAAAAATAGCCTGCCTAAAAATCAACCTGGCTGGGCAACCATACCCAGTAAAGTCATCCTAAGGCGGTCGAAAACACAATCAAAATCACAGATCCAAACAAAAATAAATTATACAACCTCTTATGGTCGCTGCATGGAATGTCAGGACCCTTCTGGCTACTGGCACAAATGAGCGTCCTGAAAGAAGAAATGCCCTTGTGGCAAAAGAGCAGGCTAGGCATAACATCAACATAGTGAGTCCCGGCACCCAGAAGAGAGTCAACTCACAGAAAGGGGTTCTGGCTATACCTTCTTCTGAAAGAGTAAGCCTGCTGTGGAGAGAAACAGCAGTTATGGAGTTGGCTTTGCCATCCGCCAATGCATCCTACATAGGCTAACTGAAATGCCTATTGGGATTATGAGCACCTCATGACGCCATGCCTTTTTCATCAGTGCATACGCCCCAACACTGGATGCAGAGGATGACATCAAAGAGACCTTTTATGCCGACCTCGACAGAATGCTAACCTCTATCCCCGGAGAAAACAAGGTTGTGCTCCTTGTTGACTTCAATGCCAGAGATGGCAGAGATGCTGACATTTGACAGGGAATCATAGGGAGAAATGGACTAGGCAAGTGTAATCCAAACGGCCTACTCCTCCTCAGCAAGTGTGCTGCACACAACCACACTATCACCAATACCTTGTTTAGGCGGGCAGACAAGTTCAAGGGTTTGTGGCAACACCCATGATCCAAACACTGGCATATCATGGACTACATCATTGTCAGAGAAAGAGATCACCAAGATGTCCTCATCACCTGTGCCATGCATGGCTCAGACCACTGCGACACTGATCATCGGCTCGTCAGAGCCAAGCTATCACTTCACGTTGCCCCAAAACAGCAAAGGCAGCAAGCCTCTAGAAGAGGTTTTAACACTAAGCGTCTGGGGGATCCAGCAGTAACACACGCTTTCAGGGAGCAGCTCGAACGTGGGCTGATAAACAACCCAACAATGAACAACTCAACTCCCCGTGCCGAATGGATATTCTCAACACTGTCATGGCAGAAATCTGCAGAGACCCTCGGCCAGATCGAAAGAATACACCAGGACTGGTTTGATGAAAATGACCCAGCAATCAATGTACTCGTCAATGATGAATGTGCTGCTTTAAATAACTGTCAGAAAAACCCTCAGTCTCGGACCAAAGCTGATACCTTCTGCAAAAAGATAGCTGCGGCCCAGTGGGAACTTCGCAATCTAAAGAACGACTGGTTTAAAAATAAAGCATGGGAAACACAAAAATTTGCAGATCAGCACAAGATGAGCGAATTTTTCAATTCCTCCACAACATTTTATGGGACAATCACTTGTGGCGCAGCCCCCCTCCGCTCATCCGACGGGAACTCCATAATTCAATACGATGAAAGCCTCCTTCAGCGTTGGAAAGAGCACTACCATTCACTGCTCAACCGAAAAATTTATGTGGAAGTCCTGACTACCCAGCAGGTCCCTCAACACCCAGAGCTGACCCACCTCAGCTATCCTCCATCCCTTGATGAGGTAGCTACTGCGATCAAACAGATGAAAAATAACAAAGCCTCAGGGCCTGATGGAATCCCAGCCAAGGTGTATAAAGCAGGAGGACCTCTGTTTACCAGCTGTCTCCACTCTCCCCTGGAGAATATATGGGAAAAGGAGGAAATCCCCCAAGCTCTTAAAGATGCCTCTATCGTCATCATTTATAAGGTCAAGGGAGACCGGTCAGAATGTGGCAAATACCCTGTACCGTGGGATCTTGCTGCTGTCCATAGTTGACAAGATTATCGCCCGAGTCCTCCTAAACAGACTTCCTCCTGAGGCGGAAAACTTCCTCCCAGATTCTCAGTGTGGCTTTAGACCATCACATGGCACCACTGGCATGATCTTTGCTGCCCGCCAGATACAGGAAAAGTGCAAAGAACAGCATCGTGACCTGTACATGGCTTTCATCGACCTAACCAAGGCCTTCGACTCTGTCAACAGGGAAGCCCTCTGGTGGACCCTCAGCCATTTTGGCTGCCCACCAAAATTTACTGTCATTGTGAGGCAACTCTACGATAGCATGAACAACAGTGTCCTGCACAATGGCACCCAGTCTGAGTTCTTCCTAATCCAAACGGGGGTTAAACAAGGGTGTGTACTGGCACCAACTCTCTTTTCCATTTTCTTGGCTGCTTTCCTAACTTGTACCAGCGCCAATTTACCGGCGGGGTGGACAAAGAGTACCGGATGAAGGGTCTTTTCAACATAAGACGACTCCAGGCAAGAACAAAGGAGTCGGCAGCTTCCATTACTGAACGTCAGTATGCAGACCACCTCACCCTTGTTGTTCACACTGAACTCGACCTACAGGAGATCTTGAACACCTACACAGATGCGTATGCACACTTCGGCCTTGAGGTGAAAGTACCTGCCCCTGGTTCAGCCACACCTCCACCATTCATCCAGCTTAATGGTACTGCACTCTCTAATGTTGACCACTTTCGGTATCTCGGCTCTCACCTGCCCACCAGCGCAGACATCGATGAAGAGATTCAGCATCGGATCAGATGTGCATCTCAAGCCTTTGGCAGACTTCAAAACCGTGTCTTCAGCTGTAGGGAGCTGAAATTATCTACAAAGTTACACGTATATCGAGCAGTGATCCTCCCCACCCTGCTATATGGCAGTGAGACATGGGTCACATACAGGAGGCACCTCAAGGCACTTGAAAACTTTCACCTACGTAGTCTACGTTCCATCTTCCGAGTTCGGTGGGAAGACAAGATAACAAATGCCAGTATTCTTGCTGACACCAACTGTAGGAGCATTGAGGCTACCATTATCTATGAACAACTACTCTGGACTGGCCATGTTACCCGTATGGACAACAGTACCGTAATCACCTAACGAATAGTAAATGTAACGCCGGCAGGAAACTGAAAAGGTACTGTATAAGGATAGTCTTAAGACAAACCTGAGAAAGTGCCAAATCGACCCCCTCACCTGGGAGACGATTACTCCATATCGTAACGCTTGGAGGAGCACCACACAAGAAGTTGTCAATACTTTCAAGTTAGCCTGACTGCAAGCCGAGGCAGACAAGCGCCAACGCCGGAAAGACACTGCCGCCGCCCCTCCCACCCTCGATGTAGCCCTCCACATGTGCGACATCTGTGGACGACTCTGCTGGTCCCGTATCGGCCTCTTTAGTCACCCCAGAACTCACCAATGAAGGTGACATCCCTAATAACTCATATCACTGTATCATAGCTGGAGGATCGTCATACTCGATTCCGAGTGATAGCAAAGTACTGTAGTTCGTTTGATGACTATTCCTCATAACTAAAGATGCAAGAATACAACAAACTGATTAAATTCTCCAGGCAGCATCATATGTTTTTCGTCTAACAATATCATATTTAGGGACCTACAACAGTCGTCCTCCAAGGGTTAGTGACACCAAACACTCACCAAAAGAACCCAGGATGGCGATGATGAACGCGCTGGCAGCAGTGAAACCCAGCACATAGTAAGGGTACTCAGCGTGCACTAGAGGCTCTACATCTTGGCTCTTAACCTCCACATCAGCAGTGGCCTCATCTGTGGTGGCATCCATGGGTGATAACGTGGAGAACAAGGAGGTCAGGGTGCCGAGGACAGTAGTGACGTTAGCCAGGAGGTCGTTGGTTAAGTTCCCACGAAACTTGGAGGCCACCGTCCCCTCTAAGGCTGCACTAAGATCAGAGGCAGTGTAAGTGGTGAAAGACTCAGGCTCATAGGTCATGGAGACGGAGGAGTAGTCGTCAGTCTGAAACCCCGCCATGGTGAAGTCCAACCTGCCGCCAGCCTCCACACTCTGTAAACATGACCCAAAAGTTTAGTATCATGTACCATCACTTCCCCACACGTCATCATGGTGCACGTCACAACACACGTCATCATGGTGCACGTCACAACACACGTCATCATGGTGCACGTCACAACACACGTCATCATGGTGCACGTCACAACACACGTCATCATGGTGCACGTCACAACACACGTCATCATAGTGCACGTCACAACACACGTCATCATAGTGCACGTCACAACACACGTCATCATGGTGCACGTCACAACACACGTCATCATGGTGCACGTCACAACACACGTCATCATGGTGCACGTCATATTATGGCGAAATTCTGTCGAAGATCAGTTAGGTATAGAAAGGAATATTGAGTGAATATTTCTGTTCGTCTGAGAGAGAGAGAGAGAGAGAGAGAGAGAGGAGCAACAAAACAACGAGAATTTAATTGGATAAAGAGAGCAATTGGTTAATGTCTTTAAGTATTCCCAAACGACACATTTTTTTTCTAATGAGAAGGGTATTACATTTTAATTACACCTAATAGACTAATCGAAAACTTTATACATTCATTTGGTTAAAGGTAACTACGAAATTTAAATGTAATATGATAATACAATTAACAGCAGAGATTGTGTTACTCGATACATTAAACAATTATGACAAGCTCGAATTTCCAGCATAGTCTAATAATGACGCGCAAATCGCTCCCCCCCCTAAAAGAAAAAAAATAAAAAAAAAATAAAAAATAAAATAAAAAAAATAATTATTTCTGGTAGGTAATTCCCCGCCTTACCACATAAATGGAAAATTAGTAACTATACCCACAAATATTAAATAACTTACACACTTATGGGAAATATAATCTTCAAATGAAAACTAAAGAATAATAATAATTTATCCAATCTTGTCCCAATAAGACGCAATGGTGTAATTCTCAAGAAGCTAAAATTACCATACTGTAATCCTTTATTACATTTCCCCGTATATAAGGCTAGTCTGGGTAATCCTACTTCTATATATACTATACTATATATAGAGCAAAGACAATTAAATATTTTATGAACACTAAACTCTTCGTACTGAGAATTGGAGTGAATGTTAACACGAGATTCCATTATGCTGAACGCCCACTCGCCCACCATCGTCATTCCAACCTGAGAGTGAATTCATTTATTTGTATTTTCCCTCCAGTAAGAAAACACAACAGGATCGCCTTAGCCCCTGCCTCCTGTTGATCTTCATTTTACATAAGCCTAACCAAACCAAACATTGATTCGACAAGTTTTCAGGAATTTATACATCACCAAACTAACAATATTCAACATCCTAATGCACAAATTTTCTTCATCTGCTTCAAAAATTCTATGAACTAATAATAATAAAAATAATAATAATGTATTAACAATAAAAGTTAAACCTATCCCAACGAACTATTTTTTTTTTACACTCTTAAGTTTCAGCTTAAAATCGCAAGAAACATTTAATGAGTTCTAAGAAAAGACTTATAGGTACAACATACACACTCCCGCTTAACTCTAAAGTAATTACCACTTGAGATGACAAACTTCTGCATTGGCCAACCTGAGAATGTTTCTGGGGTAACTTGACAGCTTTTACGAGTCCTCTACCATCTCAAGTTTAATGAGAGAGAGAGAGAGAGAGAGAGAGAGAGAGAGAGAAAGAGAGAGAGAGAGAGAGAGAGAGAGAGAGAGAGAGAGAGAGAGAGAGGCATCACATTCCAAATTATTCATGGGCTAAAATACTTCCCAAAATCATATAAACATTAAAATAAACACGTAAAAAACCTCGATGAATAATAAATGTTCAGTGACGGTAAAACACTATATTTCTCCAACACCAGCCAACATATTCCAAGAATCAGGAAGTCTTAAAAGTTTAAAAAAAGATATATATATATTCATAAACTTTATCTAGTCCCGTGTACAGTATTTTGTATTTGTATATTTTTTATTTTTTGCAGGCGCCAAAAAGATGGGTCGTGACGTCACGTCTCCACCAGCCCGTAAACACGGAGTTAACATAATCTTTATGATGTCACAGGAATTTTATTTTTATTATTACTTCCAAACTTACAATTACTACTATATTTTATCCAACCCTTCTTCTCATTATTTATTTTCCTTTCAGAAACAATACAATTATGTCGCTGCTATCTATATTAGGCATCCTGTGTACCGCCGGCAAGGCCGTGGGCTCGTAACACTCGTCTTGCCCGCGGTGCCCACCGTTTCTCTGAGGCTGTCGGTCACACTAGAATAACCCGTTATAGTACATCCTTCTTTCCTCACACAGCCAAACTGTGGAATGATCTGCCTTCTGTGTTCCCATACTCACACAATGTCTCACTGTAAGAGGCTGGTTTTCCGGCATCTTCGTGGTGTAGATTAACACAGTATAACCTTTTTCTGCTCTATTTTTAATTTCTTTCTGTTCTTATTTTCTCGCCCCCAGGCCCCGTTGTGTGTCGTTCGACCTGTGCCCGGGTGGGCTAATTCCCGTAAAAAAATAATAATAAACAAAAATCCGCATTTATAAGTTTTTTTTACTAGTAACATCAATAGAAAATAATGGTAAAATGAATTAATTCACCTAAAACACATTATTTTGTGATGGATTTTAACAAAGTCAATCCCAATACTCTTAAAATAAATGTAACATCTGGAATAATAAATTAGCATTGATGGATTCATAGTTACCACAGATGTTAACACTGTACTTGTTTGACTGGAGATGGAAGAATAAAAACATCCAAAATGGCGTCAGAACTATACCGAGACCCGAGTTTAAGTCCGGGTCAGTCATTGAAACGCAACCCGGACCTACATCTAAATTCCAGCTCGTGTTGTTGGTGTTATGAAATACTGTGTTTATCTGTACACAAACACACTAACTGGAATCACGAGTTATTCTTGTACCGTCTTCGTTCCCATTCCCGAAATTCCTAAAAAAAATTCACACCTGAGAAATCCAATATTCCCGGACGAGAATTGGACTCTCGAATCCTTCATCCAGTACAGAGTGGGAATGTTCCAGGAATGCGTCAGCCAGTGGTGGGAATGTTCCAGGAATACGTCAGCCAGTGGTGGGAATGTTCCAGGAATACGTCAGCCAGTGGTGGGAATGTTCCAGGAATACGTCAGCCAGTGGTCGGAATGTTCCTGGAATACGTCAGCCAGTGGTGGGAATGTTCCTGGAATACGTCAGCCAGTGGTGGGAATGTTCCAGGATACGTCAGCCAGTGGTGGGAATGTTCAGGAATACGTCAGCCAGTGGTGGGAATGTTCCGGATACGTCAGCCAGTGGGGAATATTCCAGGAACACGTCAGCCAGTGGTGGGAATGTTCCAGGAATACGTCAGCCAGTGGTGGGAATGTTCTGGAATACGTCAGCCAGTGGTGGGAATGTGAAGGTCGTGTCGTCAAGTACTCCCATAGAAGACCAAGGAAAATGGCCTTTGGATCGTTGTGCCGTGGGGAAGAGGAGTGTGGGGAAAGGACGACCTCCTTGCCGCACTGTTAAGGCAACTGGGGCAGTTGAAGTGAGGTTGACACTCTAAAGGGAAAATGAAGCCCTCAGGACAGAGACTCCTTCAGGTGGGTGTCCTGGCAGGACACCTGCAGGAGGGCAGGCGTGGAGAGTGGTTGGTCTCCAAGGGGACTAGGGTCAGGCTTAGAGCTGACCAGGGTGTGATGCAGTAACCCTTACCAGGTGCTGCAGGAAGCTGGAGAGGAAGAGAGGCAGGACGAGGTATGGATCAAAAAGGAGGAAGGGCAGTTAATGCAAACCCTGCCCACAGGTAAGTCGTGGTAGTTGGTGACAGCCAGGTGAGGTTTATGGATGGGGCTTTTTGTGCGAGATGGAAGCAATGGGACTAGGGTATGTTTTCCTGGGGCTGGGATAGGGCATGTAGCCGAGAGGTTAGACAGAGTTATGTCAGGGGAGGGTACCAGTGGTGTGTCTTAGTGTGGGGAGGAAAACGACATAGGTAAGGTTAGGGTGAGGAACTTTTCAAGAGGTATGGGGAGCGCTGGGAAGATTAGAGATAGGGAGGGATCCCGATGTGGTGTCTTGCCTAGAAGAGGTTGGTCGTGAATGGCTGTCCAGGGCAATTGCTATTAGTGCCGACTGGAAACGTGTGCAAACAATGGTTGGGCATTCATTGATGAGCTAGCAACGATTTTATGGCAACGACTATCTGTACTGTCGCGACAGGTACACTTGTCTCGTGAGGGGGTAAAGACGTTTGTCTGCGCTCCTGGAGCATGAAATTGTCCTCCGAAGGAATTTCGCCAGTAGAGAGGGTCGGGGAAAAATGGGAGTCAAAAAAACAAGCAGGTCTGGGAAGTAGTGAAACGAAGTAGATAATGCTGAAAAATATAGTTGGTCATAATAACAAACATCAAAGTAATAAATGTAAAACGAATAGAAATGAAGAAATATATTGAGTGTTTATTATACTAATGGTAAAACCTCAGTAATAACAAAATGGACCAGCTCAGGGCCATTGTTAGTAAAGAGAAACATAGATATAGTGCAGCCAACGGAAACATGGATAAATTCCAAACAGCAAGCATTTTTAGCAAATTTGTTCATTTTCCAGGATATAACCTATTTAAATTTGACAGAGTAGGAAGGAGAGGTGGTGATTGTAGCAGTGTATATCAGGTGTCGTAAAAGCTGCAATAAATCAAACATTAAAGCAAATAGCGACAATGAAAGTATTTGGTGAAGATTGGTGAGGGCAGTGAATCGTAGTCATTGATTGTTATATATAGACCACCTAATTTGAGTAGGAGACGATGGTAAATTGCTATGGGAGAAATAAAGAAAGGCATCTGATGAAGCAATGTATGTGTATTCTGGGCGATTTCAGCTTTTCCAGGCATAGATTGGAAAAATCCAACTTAGCAATAATGAATCTGAAGATTTTCTAGAAGTAGTACAAAGATAGTTTTTATATCAATTCTAAGCGCTCGCCCACTAGG